CAATGAAAGTTTTTCTAGTAAAATGAAATGCTGGAAAACATCTTGCCACAAGATGTTGATAAAGCTCCCTGCAGCGCCTGCAGCCCAGGCCAAAAACCTTAAGCCACTTCAAAGAGAGCAGTGCGTTAAGGTAGGGAAATCAGGTGTGTGCATATGCTTACACTATATGCATGTGTGTGTTCCAACCTGTGGCAGAAACCCACATATCTTCAACAACAAAGCAGCTTGGCTATCAGGGTGCCCTACTTAAAGCACATTTTTATTACCTAAACCAACCACTTGCACACAATACATTTATCACCCTAATGGTTCAAAAGCAGCACAACCGGATCCTGCATAGAGCCTGCAGCAAACACTCACTGCACATACAGTCAACACTACCGCCGAAACCTGCCCCTCTTCAACTGAAGATTATATATTGACTCTGCACACGTGGTGACTCAAATGTCAGTCTTTAACACACTTTATCACCATGCAACACATGTAACTGCCATTAAAAGGGAGATCTTCCTCACAGAAAAAACAGCATGAATTTTTACCTGACACGGAGATGGTCATTGGGGCTTCCAGGGTCCTGTCATTGTCCAGGTCTCGGCTCAACCTCAGATCCCCAGTGTCAGCGTTCAGCAGCAGCAGATTGAGCTCGTTCCCAGATTCAAACTTATACCGCAGTTTATCCGATACATCCGGGTCATGTGCTGGAACCTTTCCTATTATTCCTGATGGAAAACTGTTAGATTTGTTGGTGATGTAGTTGTTGAAAATAATCTCAAAGTTATGTAGCACTGGCTCATTGTCATTCATGTCTTTAAGGCGGATGTGCACAGTGGCCCGACTCACTAGTGGTGCTGAGGTGGCCTGGACCACGATGACATACTCCGTTTTAGTCTCATAATCCAGGTCTATGAGTGCGGTGAGGTCACCGTTAAAAATGTCTAGCTGGAAAACTTCTGGATTATTCCCTTCTACAATCTGGTACATGATCTGAGCATTTGTGCCCTCGTCAGGGTCGGTGGCAGAGATCCGGGCCACAACGGACCCCACCGGGCTGTTCTCCTCCACGTCAATAAACAGCTCATCCTTTTCAAACACTGGAGCATTGTCATTAATGTCTTGGACAACCACATGAATAGGAACAGCTGCTTTTAGCTGTGGAACCCCCCTATCTACAGCATAGGCCTTCAGATTGTAAACAGGAACATTCTCTCGGTCCAGTTTGCGAGAAGTTCTGATGATACCAGAGGAAGATTCTATGAAGAAATCCCCATCTCCGTCATCGCCATCCTGAAATGTATAGCTCAATCTGCCATTTGGGCCAGAATCTCTATCTGAAGCAGAAATCTGGAGAACGCTGGTGCGGACAGGTGCATCTTCTAATACAGTCCCCTGATATCTGTCCCTTAGAAACTGAGGAGTATTATCATTGGCATCGGCGATGATAATCTCCACATAGGTGGTATCAGATTTCTGGGGGATGCCATTGTCTCTGGCAATGATTGCTAACGTGTAGGAGGCCTGGTCTTCATAATCAAGCTCCATTTGTGTTGTGATGGCCCCTGTATCCGGGTCAATTTTAAACTGAGGAACATTATCCTCCATCACGTACGTGATGCGAGCATTTTCTCCTGTGTCCTCATCCGTCGCACTGATCACTACCACAGTAGAGCCCACAGGTTTTTCTTCACTGAGCATCACCTGGTAGTTGGCACTTTGGAAGACGGGACGGTGTGTGTTGGCGTCCGTCACATTGAGGAACACTTGAGTGGTGTCGTACTGTGTTCCATCACTGGCAGTGACTGTCAGGACATACTGGCGTTCCTGCTTGTAGTCCAAGGGGAGGGCTAAAGTGATGAGACCGCCACCACTCTGGCTTGTGATGGCAAAGCGGTTCCTGGTGTTGCCACTGGAGATCTGATAGGTAACCACACTATTGACATCCCTATCTACAGCCGTCACTGTTAGTACACTGGTCCCAACAACAGCATCTTCATTAATCTTTAATGAGTACACCTTCTCTGTAAATGTGGGTATGTTGTCATTCACATCGAGCACTGTGATGCTGACGCTGGCTGATGAAGACATAACAGGTATCCCATGATCTCTTGCCTCTACGCCAAAGGTGTAAAAGTCAGTGGTCTCCCTGTCAAGTTCTTCACTCACTGTAATCCAGCCGGTGCTGTTGTTGATTGTGAACGGAAAACCAGGCGTGGTGTCAGTTAACCGGTATTCCAAACGGGCGTTTTCTCCAGCGTCACCATCAATTGCTTGGATGTGGATCACAGAGTATCCAATGGCCACATTTTCCAACACAGTAGCCTGGAAAGGTGTGCTGACGAACATGGGGACATTGTCGTTCACGTCCACCACTTGAACCACCACCATCCCTGTGCCATTTATCAAAGGAGGCCTGCCACCATCCTGTGCCTTAATCCGCAAATTATACTCTCGAATCATCTCATAGTCCAGAGGATTGATGATATCAATTACACCTGTGGGGGAGTGAATGTAGAACTGTCCCCTAACATTGCCACTGATTATGCTGTATTGAACTTTGGCATTGTTGCCTTCATCTTTGTCTGTAGCTTCAACCTTGATGATGTTGGTGTTGACTGCCACATTCTCTGGGATCTGTACAACATATCTCTTTTCAGTGAACTGTGGGTAATTGTCATTCTCATCCTCCACAGTGATATTGACAGTAGCAGTGGCACTGCGGGGGCCTTTTTCTTTGCCCTGGTCGTTGGCCTCAACAATCAGCTGGTACCGGGCCCGGGTCTCCCTATCAGGCCGCTCTTTGATCTTCACCACGCCGTTCCGGGGGTCGATTTCAAATACAGAATTAACTCCATCACCGTTAACAATTTTATAAATCATGTTAGCGTTGGATGGAGCATCCCCATCAGTGGCACGGATTGTTATCACTTCAAACCCTACTTCTACATTCTCCCGGATGCTAACACGGTATTCATTTTGCTCAAAAACCGGGCTGTGGTCATTAGTGTCACTCACAGTGACAGTGAGGTAAGAAGTGGCAGATCTTTGGGGAGAGCCATAATCAGTTACAATGACTTTGAAAACATGGGTGTCTTTCACTTCTCTGTCTAGTGACTGTACAGTTGTTATGCTCCCTGTCTGAGAGTCAATTTCTAAAAAGTCATTGGACCTGCTGTCAAACAAGGCTTCCATGCTGTACTCCAGCCTGCCTGCCTCTCCATCATCCGGGTCAGTGGCTTTCAGGGTGATCACCCGCGTGCCCGCAGGCTCATTCTCGGGCAATGACACCTGATAGTTGGGGAGCTGGAACTTGGGAGGCGCGTTAGCCTGTCGCTTACCCCTGCGGATCAACGTGCCGGACTTTCTCTGGTCGGTTTCTGAGAGGGATCCATGTTGCTTGGGCACTTTTACAAGCGTCAAACTCAGCTGCACAGAGAGCCTGCCGCCTGGAGAGCTCTGCAGTGCGCAGTGCAAACTCAACTCCGGCTGTCCTCTGTGTTCAATACATAGGTCACTGGCCAGGAACAAATCCCCTCGTCTGAACACTGCACTAAAGTCTTTGCCAACACACAATGTGTCCAAAAAGGCGATGTTGCGCGTAAAAGCAGGCAAAAGTTCTGTTACATTCAATAGCAATTTACCTGCGGACAAGCAGGAAGTTGCCTCCAGTTTTGAAAGGTGTTTAATGTGAATGTCTGGCTTACCTGACGCTTTCTTTCTCTTGTATTTAATAAAACAGTCCTGGCCGTGGACAAACACATTAAACTGTGTCAGAATAACGTCCCCAGATGTCAAGGAACCTGTTCTGAAATAAACAGGCGCTGGGTTCCTCGGTGTGTGCGCACACTCAACTTTGTGGGACAGACGGATGACTCCATCGTGTCTCCCAACTTGGAAAAAGCTCTGGATGAATTTGGGTGATAAAGTCCTATCAAGTTTTGACGTCCACCCAGGTCCAAGCGACAGGTTTGCTAACAGGGTCCCAGGCTGTAAAGTATCCGAAAGGTGTATTTCCAAACATCCCGAAAGCTGCACGTTGAACAGGACACAAACCCAAATCCAAAACATCGGTAGCTCCATGCTTATGAACCTGTCAAATCCCATTCAACTTCATCGAAACTCCTCCGCTAACGCATTAACTTTCCCTCTCCCAACACCGCGCTTTACTTTTATCTCTCATTGTGAAGTTTTAACGTAGAAAAAGACGCTTGGTATCCATAGTATCAGCGTATCCACGGCGCGCAGCAGCTGCGTTAACCCACACTGAGTTTAAAATGAGTACAAAATGGCTCCGTGGCTCTCCTCCGCCTCCTCCTCCTCCTCTCCTCCTCGGAGACTTATTACCATAAACCTGCTGTGTCCCCCCTCTGGGACGCTTTCACAGGGGGGCTTCTTTTTTTTATCATGGAGATTTAGGAAGTGGCCCTGACCGGGTGACCAATGCGCACAAGTGCATTGTTATTGTAATAGGGTGAGAGTTGGGTAAAATTCCTAATGCGTGTTTGAGTGTCTCTGCCTCTTCAACTTTTGTGTGTTGAAGTAGTTGTAAGCACTGAAGGTACATATGAAAGACATGAAAAGTGGTTTAACTAAGACTTCAAGGTCACAATATTAGAAAAATGTAACACAATAAACTGCAACTTCTCGGTAAATGCAATTCATAAAGGTGCATGGTTTGACTTATATCATACTTTAAATAACTGTTTTCAGCCAACCACACAGATGTAACAGCTTAATAAACCAAATTATCAGTTGATTATTGTTTCTGATAATCCATAAATAACTGTTTTCTTCACGTTTACATTGTAAAACAGTAATTATTAAAGCAAAATCTGTTTCTCTTAGGAATAAAAGATATTGCTTCCTCTAGACTTAAAAAGGCTGAAAGTGAAATATTTCAAATAAAGTACATTTATATTTTTTTCTTTGTATCATTTTGTGTTTGGAATTTTTATTTTGACTTTAATGGATTGCATGATTCTAAAAAACGATGCGTCTTACCGTTATGGTGTTGAATGAGCCTTTATTATCCCTTATTACTTATCACCTTTGTTTTTCCCCACAAAGAAAATGAATGTTTCGATGAAAACACTTTTCAAAACTTGACACAAGAATAATCTCTTCTAGGAAATCATACAAAAGGAAATAAAATGTGTTTAAAAAATATCTACTGTGACATTCATCAGGACTTATAAGAACATAGACAGAAGGTGACAGAACAATGCTGACTTGAGAACAACAGGTTCACACCTGTAGGGTAATCTTGTATAACAGCGCCCCCTTGTGGACCAATAACTATAGGACAACCCATCAAACTAAATAAGGATTTTTATCATTGATAAAAAAATCAAGGTGATTCATATCTTAACATATATAGGTTAGCACAGAGGTATGGTGAACATTACTGACAGTCATAAAAAAGGTAAAGGACAGGAGGGAAAGTCTCAGAAATGATAGAACAAACATACCGAAAAATAAGGTCGAAATAACATTACAGTGAACAAACAAGAACATATAAGTGTCACTTTCATTCCCAGATAACAGGCCCCGAAATTGTGTCAACCATCAGTTGACAACTATTAACCCTCTGCTAGCTTAAAGTTCAAACTTGATTTCCTTGCTATTCTGACCCACAATCCTGATAGGTCACATCGACTGAGGCACCAAGAGAGCACAGACATCCTGAGGACCGCTCATCATGCTACGGACTTGACGGATATATGAACAAGAGGGGGTTGAAGTTCAAGTTGCAATGTCAGGATGAGGTAGTATGTCCCTGTACTGAATACATACTGCATGCAACACTACATACTCTTGGGGCTGCTCCAGAAAGTACTACAGTAAAAAGAACACACATTACTTCAAATGCAGCCCCCCATTCTCCCCTGCTAAATACACCTTGGCTTGAATACAGATGGTTCTTCTTAGCAGCTAGTAGATAACCTTTTAGTGTCCAACACTAAACGTATTACAGAAAAAAACCTGTTTACTGTTTTTTAAAAGTGAGTCCGGAACAGACACTTTGTCACAAAGCTGTTTCTTAGAGACAGTTTATCTTCTTAAACAGTGTGCTCTACCTAATGTACCGGACAGAGCTCTTTTCCACCACAGCTTGGCGGGGGGGGTCCTCTCAGCTGGCCGGTTCAGGAGTCTGCTGCTCCTTCTGCTGAGCGGCCGCTAACAGGCGCTCTCTGCCCCGCTGCAGGGTGAACTCACTGGGCCCCAGCTGCATGATCTTCCCACTGCCCAGACACTCGTCTCCTTTGTAGAGCACGGCAAACTGCAGGAGGATCAAATGTATATTATAATACGTTTTTATAATATACACAAGTGGTCATGGACAGATTCACTGAAATATATAAACAACTTGAAATAAATATCTAATATATTTGTATATTACAGCATAGGTTTATGCAACTACACTGTATTCAGTCACACAGGTGTGTTGGCTGTTACCTGTCCAGGTGTCAGAGCTCGGACTGGTCTGGAGAGAGAGATCCACACAGAGCCGTTCATGTTCAGTGTCACTGTACAGGGAACTGGAAAACATAAACATTTGTTTTTTGTTCAGTAAATAACTTCTAATTCACCAAATTACAGACACTAACAGCACAAAACTCACTGAGTGGCATCTGGTGGATGAAGCGGAAATGACACTCCATCATCTGGGTCTTGACTAGTTCAGCAGGCGGTTCGACCGTTACCCAGTGGAAGCGGTCCGTCCGCATCATGTCACGGAAAAGAGCCGGGTGGTTGGTAGTAGGAGCCTGATTTGTGAGACATTTTGGGCGTGAAGTATGAGCAAAAATGCGTCAAATTGTAATCAGTATTGCACCTTATAAAAGTGAGCGAAATATGTAATGTTAATGCTTTAACATATCTTCATAGTCAGATTTTCTTACCACAAACACATCCCCAGTAGTGATGTCTTTGTCCACCACAAAAAAAGGGTCTCTCTGCCCTCCAATTTTGGCCCTCTGGCCTAGCGTCATAGTGAACCAGCCTGGATGGAGAGAGACACAGGAAATGACAAGAGAAGAAATACACAGAGGTATTTTAAGTCAGTAGTTTGGAACATATCCACATTTAGTGGATATTTACAAGGACCAGGAAAGCAAAAAAATGGATTTTAATAGTTTTAATTTGCTTAACATCCTGATAGTCATTACATACTGCCTGTGTGATAATATAATAGTGACACACACTTATTACACACTTAAAACGGCCACAAGGCTCAAGGCTTTTATTTGTCATACGTACATAGCTACAGTGTAGTTATGACGATGACAATCTTAGGTCACAGGCTCCACCAACAGTGCAACACATACCTTTGTGTGTTCCCATAACAGCCCCGTCCTCAAGGGAGACAAAATTCCCTGGTTTAGGTTCCAGATACTAGAAACAGAAAGAAAAAAAACTTGTATAGTAAACAGGTAAAGGTTTACAAAGCAGGAGGCATTGTTCGAATTTTAAAACGCAGAACGAATAATTGAAGATTTATTTCTTACCTCCAAAATAAAGCTTTCAAAGTTTCTCTCTCCAATGAAGCAGATGCCCATGCTCTGGAAACACATTAGGGTACCTTACAATGTGAATACATATTCCTATGTATGCCCTCCTGATGTTATATAAACATGAGTTACATTTCTGCCTTTGTATTTATTTGTGCGTTTACCTCCTTCTTCTTCAGCACATGGTGAAACCCTGCCTCCGCAGCAATCTTTTTGACAAAGCCTTTGGTGAGTCCGGCCAGCGGGAACATGGTTTGTCGCAAGGCATCCTGGGAGATCTGACTGAGGAAGAAGGTTTGGTCTTTGAAGAGATCGGCTGCTTGATACATCCTTACCGCTAGGGAGAGAAAAAGAAGAAAAAATATTTTTTTATCTTTAAAGCTAATGTTGTGGTTCAATTTGACTGTAAAAACAAAGAAAGTAGCAAAAAAGAATGTAGGTTTAAAAGAGGTAACCCATTAAACTGGGGCACAAGATTCAAACTCTTACGATTTCTGATCTCAAAACGATCTCTGAAGAGAGTTGTCTGTGGCGCTATGGTCTTCTGTTCGAACACCTCGTCGTCTTCCTGTGACGTCCGGGCATAGTGTCCTGTTGCCATGGCATCAGCACCTTTATTAACAACAGCATGAAATTAGACACAATGTTTTATTGTGTTTGACATTGAAATCAGTTTATTTACTTATTCCTTAACTACCAATCCCTGCTTTCCAGTCCAAAAAATAAAAGTTAAACAGTTGTAAAGCCGCCTAGAAACAGTATAGGTCTGTGTATGACCACATTATGACTTGAAATGATCAAATTTGAAATGATTGATTCATCAATTAGTCGATTGAGAGAACAAAAATAACAATTTTTGATATTCAATTAACCTTTTTGGTCATTTTGTAAACAGAATAGTAAAACACTTACAATTTGTCTACAATATCTTCAAAGAGTTCTTTCTTTTTCTTTTCTTTGTCATGTATGATTATTATAGGATAAACATTTATGGTATTTTAATTTTGGTTTAACAATCTAACCCAAGACATTTTTCTTTTGTAACTTTGCATAAATTAAGCAGGTATCGTTTATAATTGGAAATATAAATTGCAAATGAATTAATAATGACAATAATCATTTCATAGCCCTATTATGATGACATACCCAGCGTGTTGATGGCATACTTGTGGAAATGGTTGAATTTGATGTGCTTGTTGCATAGTATGTCTGGGTTTGGCGTCCTCCCCTTCTCATAGTCCTGTAACAGTTTACTGAAAGTGGGGGAAAACAGACGTGAGATTCACAGAGTTTTACATTTTGAGAGTATTTAGGATTCATACATGGCAGCCACAAATACCTGAACACTTCATGCCAGTACTCTTTGATGTAAGACACTTGATGGAAGGGGATGTCCAGGCTCTGACAGACCCTGTAGGCGTCCTCACAGTCTGTCTCTGTGTTGCACACGCCACTCTCATCCAGGGAGTCCCAGTTCTTCATAAAAACCCCTGTTACACTGTAACCTACACACGACAAATAAGAACAATAGCTGAGTTTCTCACTTTTTATTCATTTAGGTAAAGTGAGCCAACCATTAATAAACATTAATTGCAATATCTTGTTCTCTTTAATATTGTAACTTGGCAATAGAGGTGGGAAGGAACTAAGTACATTGATTCAAGTACTGTACTTAAGTACAATTTGAAGATACTTGACTGGAGTATTTCCATGTTATGCTACTTTGTACTTCTACTCCACTACAATTCAGAGGTAAATCTCCACTATGTTAATTTAATACCTGTAATTACTTTACAGATTTGAATTTGAACTCATAAATCAGTCTTTAGTTACACCTGGAGTAAATTCACAAGCTACCCTGCAGAATACAAAGTCATTAAAACTAGCTGCAATAATTATAATCAAAACATATAATATATATTATTCTGAAATGGACCAATCTGCAGAATGAGTACTTCTGGTACTTTCATTATATTTTGAAGCTAATACTTGTGTACTTTTACTTGAGTATACCTTTTAAATATAGGGCTTGTACTTGTAACAGAGTATTCCTACACTCTTGTACTACTTTTACTCAAATACAAGATATGAGAACTTCTCCCGCCTCTGCTTGGTAATAAAACAGATTCTGATAAACAGGTCAGTTCAGGTGTGTTTCTGTGTGTGTTTCTCTGTTTTCTCACCTCTTCTCTTCAGTAACAACGCGGCGACAGAGCTGTCCACTCCTCCGGACATGGCGCACACGACGTGTCTAATAAAACCCATATTTTCTAACTACAGTGCCTTCAGTTAATACTAATTTCTTATGTCACGAAGAAAAGTCTCCATTGCCACTTGCAGGGGCAGCCATCTTTGCGGTCCTTTTAATAATAACGTCCGACTGGAAACACGCTTCAAACGGAAACTATTGTTCCACTGTGAGCTGCTAGAAACGTAACACTGCGAACATTGCGGAGTTGTCACTTTTTAAAGTAAAAGAAAAATCGAAACACATAATAAGGTCAGTGTGGAGCAAGTTTAATGCACGAAATATGTCGTTTTACTTTACTTAACGACTCTTTTGCCAAAAAAAGTAGGTTTGTAATTCAACGTGCATGCATGCTTCACTCTTGCTCTGTAGGCTACGTCGTAAGTAACGTAGCATAGAGCAGTAAGACCTAAACAAATAGTAGCTATCTAATAATAACACACTTCATAGAAATTAGTGAGAATTATGAGGCCAGGTGTGAAATATTGTTTAAAAATAAAGAAAATTAAAGCTGCAAGCAGCGTTGAGCGGGTCTTCGACGCTCCGCAGGCTGTTGTCCGCACGTCGACGTGTGTGTCTAGGTGTCTCAAGGACTCGGCCGTTGGCAAACGTGGGAAGTTTCAGGCCGATCAGACAACGTACATGGGAGTTACAGCAGTATCATAAACATTGTGTTTGATGGCGAGTGATCTGTCGCCATGGCAACGGAATTTGATGACACCCCATAATACGCCTAGATGTGTTGAGGGCTGCATCGTTATCAAACCTGTGAAGTTTTGGGCCGTTTGGAGCATGTTAACTGGAGTTATGAGAAAACCGTGTTTCACGGCGACCATTTTGTTACCATAGCAACGACATTTGACGAAATCTCAAAACTGACACATATATGTGTCGAGGGCTTGACGGTTAGCACACATGGGAAATTTGAACACTTTTTTACCATTTACACAGGAGTTATAGCAATATCGTGCTTAACGGCGAGGGATGCGTTGCCATGGCAACAGCTTTTGAGGAAAACTCACTATTGTCATATTGAGGTGTTGAGGGCCGGACCATTAACTGTCATCTGAAGTCTGGTGCAGTTTGGACCATTTTCCATCGAGTTATGACAACACTGTGTTTCATGGCGAGGGATCTGTCACCATGGCAACGGCATATGATGACATCCCATAATTGGCGTAGAGCTGTTCAGGGCCGGACCATTAGCCATCATCTGAAGTCTGGTGCCGGTGATATAAAAGTGAAGATTGGGGGACGATGGGACCGTGTCCATTGGAGTTACAGCGACACCGTGTTTTATGGCGAGGGATGCGTTGCCATGGAAACGGCATATGATGACATCCCATAATTGGCGTAGAGCTGTTGAGGGCCGGACCATTAGCCATCATCTGAAGTGTGGTGCAGTTTGGACCATTTTCCATTGACTTAAGACAACATTGTGTTTTATGGCGAGGGATGTGTTGCCATAGAAACGGCATACGGTGAGATCTCAGATTTCACGTAGAGCTGTTGAGGCATGGACCGGTGATATAAAAGTGAAGATTGGGGGACGATGGGACCGTGTCCATTGGAGTTACAGCGACACCGTGTTTTATGGCGAGGGATTCGTTGCCATGGTAACGCCATATTAAGTAACATCAAATTTGACGTAGAGCTGTTCAGGGCCGCAGTGTTAACCATCATGTGAAGATTGGTGGCGTTCTGAGTATGTCAGTTGGCGTTATGACATCATCGTGTTCCATGGCGAGGGATGGCCGAGCATCGAGCGAACGCGAACTTTGGCGCCAAATCACGGCTACGCCGTGCGAAAGAAAAAGACTTCCGTGATAACTTTGAATTGCCCATGTCTCGAGACGCTACCCGACGAATTTCGAGTCGTACGGATAAAGTCCCTGGGAGAAGATAGATTTCGTGCGGAGGACGAAAAAACGCGATAAATCGCGTTTTTCCGACGCCAAATTCAAAATGGCCGGCTTCCTGTACGTTATTTTATACCCCTCCAAGAGGCTTTTTGGTTTGTCTCCGCACCCTAGATATGCGTAGCGAGTTTCGTTCGTTTACGTGAAAGTTAAAGTGGGGGGAGTTTACGTTAAAAACGGAAGTGGGCGTGGCCTACGCAATTTTTTACGCAAAGTTCCGGAACCAATTACACATCTGAAGTTGCACCACTTCTGACGCGCGTGCAACATTTGGTGAGTTTTCACATATGTTGCGGGGGTCAAAGGTTTATCGGTCGCTGTGCGACCGATTTCAATAGGGTCTTCGCCGACCTAGGTCTCAGACCCTAATTAAACCTATTAAGTACTTATTATTACAGTGTGTTATTATGATTTGCATTTATTTATGTGTGTGGCTCCTCAAGACGAATGTGTTCCTGATATTGAATTGTGTGTTTCTGACAGATGTCTGCAGAGGCTGTCACCCTGGATCTGCTGAGAGAAGCCAGGGAGACGGTGAGAGGCAGCCCACTGGGTGTCATCAACACTCCCATGATCCCCTGGGGCCAGACAACCCTGCCTCTGGACATCCACTGCAACATCCACATCAAACTGGAGAACATGCAGAGAACCGGTGGGAAAAAAACCCACTTTGATTAGTCTCGTACAAGCTAATTCTCGTCTTATTTCTTAAGAATTGTGCATTTTAATTGCCAGGCTCGTTCAAGATCCGTGGAGTGGCCAATCAGTTTGCCAGGAGAGAGAAGGGTGGTCATTTTGTCACCATGTCTGCTGGGAACTATGGGAAGTCTTTTTCGTACGCCTCAAAACACTACGGGTCAAAGGGCAAGGTGGTGATGCCTGAAACAGCCCCTGCATCCAGATCCATCCTCATACAGGTTAGGAGGGATCTTTTGACCAGTGGTAGATGAACTATTTAAGTAAAAGTATAATCCCACGCTGTAAAAATACTCTTTTAAGTAACATTCCTGCATTTTAAATATTACTTAAGTAAAAGCAAGCAAGTATAAACTGTGTAGGTAAACATTCAATGTAAGCAGAAAACTCTCAAATTAATTAAAATCTTACCCAAAAAACTTAAAATTGTTCAAAATAAATATGCCTGTTCATTTCCCCAATTCTTTCAAAAATGTGGTTTTGTATAAACTGTGGTTAGTTTTCCCAAACGAAAAAATATTATTTTATAATATCTTGTATTATAATATTATCTAGTAACGAAAGCTGTTATTTGAATCGTTGTGGAGTTTATGTATAAAGTGGCACAAACTGAAAATGGATGAATAAATGTATATTCTACCGCAGCTACTGCCTGAATGAAAAACGCAGAATACAAACCTGCAATTGTTGAAAATTGTTCCTCCGCATTTATTTAAAAGTGTTATTCTTCTCTTCCTCAGAGCTTTGGGGTGGAGGTAGAGAGAGTTCCCACTTCCTGTATGATGGATGTGGTGACCCGCTGTGTTCAGGAGGACAACATGACCTTCCTGCACTCCTTTGATGACTTGGATCTAATAGCAGGACATGCTAGGTACACTCAAAGGCCATCAGTGGATCTTTTGATCATTTAAACTTCCAGCTATTCTAAACCTGTGTGTCCAGTCTAGGTATGGAGGTGCTGGAGGTGATGCCCCAGCCTGATGTGGTGGTGGTGTGCTGCGGTGGGGGGGGGCTGCTGGCCGGTGTGGCCGCCGCTATCAAACTGTCAGGATGTGATAAGACCAGAATCTATGGTGTGGAACCAGAAGGAGGTAAAACAAACACAAAGAAGGAAAAAAGCTGCAATATTAGCTTTCCCCCATGTATCCTAGCAGCTCAGTGACATGTGTTTGTGTTTCTGTTTAAACTCAGCTTGCACCATGTACAAAAGCTTAATTGAGAAGAAGCCAGTGGGCATGGACACCAAGAGCATCGCCTCAGGACTTGCACCCCCATTCGCAGGTATCATGAATGTCTCTCTCCATTTCTTCAAACTGTTGTATTTTTTTAATCACTCCTTTTCTCTGAATCCCAGGCAAACTGCCCTTCGAGCTATGTCAGCGCTACGTGGAGGGGATTGTCCTTATAAACGATGAGGAGATCAAGGCGGCGGTCTCCACCCTGTACAGCTCCGGCCTCGTGGTGGAGGCGTCGGGCTGCGCTGCGTTCGCTGCCATCGTTAACAACAAGATACCCGGGCTGGAGGGGAAGAACGTGGTGTGCATCCTCAGCGGAGGGAACATCGGGAAAGACGAACTCGCCAACTTCCCTGGATGACAAATGTACACAAGCATGATGTGACTTTTCTTAGTGAAACACACTGAGAAAAAAACAACTATTCAGGGCTTCTGATTTGGAAATACTTAATAATATTAGGGCCATTTTGTGTGTAAATGTAATTATTCTAACTATATGATGCAGTGGGATTTTACTTGTCTGAAATCATGATGAAATATGTTATCTTTGTACCATAACATTTATTTTTTACTCATTTTCTATAAGCTTTTACAATTTGCATTGTCGGTTCAATGTAATTTAGTTTTTTCCAGAGTGTGCAATCACTTTTAATAAACACCTCTTTCTCAATTAATTGATGGTATGCACATTTTGTTGTGTCTGCATAAAATCTGTGAATTTAAGGGAGTGAAAATGTAATATCCAGGTGCAAGTAAAATGACGCTGAAAATATAAATGTCCTTATAAGTGTCCTTATATATATATATATATATATATATATATATATATATATATATATATATATATATATATATATATATATATATATATATTTAAAAAAAAAAAGGTAATTCAAGATGATTTAGATTAGAAGAACAAAGCAAGGCGGAATCTAAGCACATGTTATCTGATATTTGTCCCCTTTTAGATGGAAGGAAAGTGCTGAATAAAATGTAAATGTGAGCAGGAGAAAAGCAATGTCCATGAGAAAATATATGAAAAATACAATTTTATTTTCAGATGGGAGAAATATGATTTTTTTTATAGTCCACAAAACACAATGTGGGACTTTACAATGTGGAAGAGTAAATTAATTCAAAATAAAAAAATGGTTGCCTTTCCGGTCCTTTTTCCTGTGGCAGCTACATGACGTCCTTGGCAGCCATCCTACATACTACCGCGTCCAGCAGAGTCCCACTCTTCTCCTCCTCCTGAGTGACTTTATACAACTGAAACAAAGGCACAAATTGGTGAGTTAAGATTAAACATGGCACTGAAGTATATTTGTGTTTGTGGTATATAGTTCATAGATGTCAGTTCTTTCAAAAATTATCCTATCCCATTTTGGAATGAAGCTGACCAAATACAACTTATCATTACATAATATAAGTCACATTAAATTAAAGCGAGGATTGACAACCTTTTTGACTTTGGCGTGGTCTGTCAGCGAGGAAACTTCTTCCACTGGAACCTGCCGTCCGCTCACCCGGGCTGTGAGGTCTGCTAAAAGCTGGGACTCGTCTTCGTTGTGAATCAAGACCACCAGGACAGAGTCATCGCCATCAGAGCACCCAAACCTTTTGAACGCCTCTGAGATCTGTATTAGGGAAGGCATACAAATATGATTCATTTCTGTTATGAGTTTATTCATGGTCATTACGATTGGTTTAGCAGATGAGATATGGACATGTATTTTTTTGTTGCAATTATTCCAATAGTTCAGATGCAATGTTAACAAACAAAACCCTAAAGTGTTTAAGACTTTATGCTGTTTCTTATGTAAAATAAGCATTTTCACATGGGAATGTTAATGATATATAAACACAATGAGTAATGTTTAGTATACTTACATTATTAGTCGGTGATAGGTTGAAGATTATTTCTGAGTATAAGCTTCTTGTCTTCATTTTCCCATTGTTCTGTGAGTTAACAGCCTTGTTGGCAGCTACGAGCACTTGGAAAGGATTTACCAGCTGTAAATAAAAACAGTGTGATGATGAATGAGGTGCCATAGTTTGCCCATTTGGTATAACATAGTTCTGAGTGGAAATTATTGTAAGCTTATAAATACACTTAAGAACATGTCTATTGCACATACAAGTTGGATAAAATGTTGCAAAAGCTGAATGGAACATCTCACCATCGTTGGGTTGATCAGAGCACCGTTTATTTTCCCCTCCACCGCACACTGTCTCAACTCTGCCGCATTTTTGACCTCCTTGAAAAGCATTTGAGTCACTTTGTGACCGGGAAAGAGCTCCAGTTCGTGTGTTAAATGCATGCTGGAAATTTGCTTCAGGAAATATAAAGAATTTACTATTTATCTCGCTTCACGACGTGAACGTGTGGTCTGAACCGTCTGAACACGCAGGGGAACAATAACATGGTCACACCGCTTAGAGAGAAAGGTTCCTCTTTAGAAATTAGGTCGACGAAAGCAAGAAAACGATATTTTAAAGGAATTCCATCCAAAGGACATCATATATAATACAAGTAATAACTCTTACTACTATTTTTACCATGTTAGTGTGTTGCTAAAGTGTTTAGCTCAACTAGGAACTAAAAGCTATACAATAATTTCAGTACCCGAGCATGTTTCTGGAGCGGACCGCCAGCTGTCAAACATATTAACTCTTCCGTTTATCAACCCTAGACGCATTTCAACCACTTCCCTCTGAATTGAGATTGTAAAGCGGGGTTTAAAACGCAAATGTACTAGTTATGCGGAATACACAACACTGCTACAGCTAGCTTCGGACTGCATTCACTTTTACATCGGATTTCGTCATCAAACATGGAGACATTTGAAGGCTACATCTTCACTGCTCTCTGCAGCACCAACTTTCTGGTTTCCTGCCTGCTGTTCTCCAGAGTCACCCGGGAGCAGAGGGAGCCCTACATGGACGAGATATTTCATGTGCCACAAGCTCAGAAATACTGCCATGGCAAATTCAACGAGGTAAAAGTTTCCATTTGAGAGTCCCTCATTGTTGTTTAGCGGATTAAGGCTAGCTAACAGCAGTCTTGAGTCATTTAACATGAAGTGGCAGCTTGGTAAGCCTTTAATCTCCATGTCAGACATATAGAATGGCATTAGTGGGAACGGTGGTTTGCATGCAGGCTACAGTAGCTCCAGTAAGTTCTTAATGCAGAAAAGTGGCGATTAAGGATCATCATGGTTTTTTTCTCCCATATGTTATTTCAAAATTCAAGTTATTTTACTACAAAACATGTCAACATTATATTACGGTTCAAAGCATCCCATAGTATTTTCCCCACAACTCAGTGATTTGGGTGAAATTATGAATGCATGCATAATTAGGGCCCCACCATCATTTAAAAAAATAAAAATGCACATTGACTTTGGTTGAATCAGCAAAGGACGAGATATGTGTACATATTTTTGCTTCCTGTTAAAGGTCAAGTATAATAAATCCTAAATCCTCCATTTACAATTACCAACTAAATAGTGCCTTTTTTTTTTACACTCCCTTCCTGGTAAACACCCTGTTTTTCAAACTCTATGTCTCCAATTGTGCTGTGTAATGCTGAATTTCTGTACAGCCTTTTTCCAAACTAGATAACTTTGAATGCATCACTACGACATCACAGGGATAATTTCCTACTTTGGAAAGACTCCAGATCCACTGAAATCATCATACATTGTTTTCACAAATAGATGATTAAGACGTGTATCACTTATTTTATTTTCAATTAGTAAAGTGTTAACCCAACCCTAACATTGTTTTGATTGTTCTTCAGTGGGACCCCATGATCACGACCCTCCCAGGCCTCTACCTGGTCTCTGTGGGAGTCATTAAGCCGGTGGTGTGGCTCGCTGACCTCACAGGCCAGGTGGTGTGTTCCACGGCCATGCTGCGCTTCATCAACCTGCTCTTCAACTGCGGCATCCTTTACCTGCTCTACCTGCTCATCTGCAAACTGCACTCCCGGGAGAAGGTACACAGACAGTGACGAAAACAAAGTGTGAGGGATTTTTCTGTGTGTTTTCTAACATTTCCTCTCTTCCAGACACGAACGACCTCCCGGCGAGTCCTCTCTGCGCTGTCTCTGTCCACCTTCCCCGTGCTCTACTTCTTCAACTTCCTCTATTACACGGACGCCGGATCTACTTTCTTCACCCTCTTCACCTACCTCATGACGCTGTACGGCTGCCACAAGGCCTCGGCGTTCCTCGGCTTCTGCTCCATTCTCTTCCGCCAGACCAACATCATCTGGGTGGCGTTCTGCGCTGGCACGTTGGTGGCCGCCAAAATGGACGAGGCCTGGAGGGTGGAGCATACGAAGAAGAGGGATGAGAAGTCTCCTCCGTCCCAGGTCCCGCTGTCATTCGGTGGGGCTAAGAAGGTGATGATGTTCACGCTGGAGTTCCTCACCTCGCCCGCTCACGTGAAGTCGGTGCTGCTGGTGGCCTGGCCGTACGCTGTGGTCGCCGTGGGCTTCCTGGGGTTCGTGGTGTTTAACGATGGGATAGTGGTGGGTGACAGGACGAGCCATGAGGCCTGCTTCAACTTCCCCCAACTCTTCTACTTCTTCTCCTTCGCCCTCTTCTTCTCCCTCCCCGTGTCCCTTTGTTACCACCGGGCTCTCCGCTTCCTCCAGGCTCTGAAGAAGCAGCCTCTGTTCTTCCTCTTAGTCACGGGCGTCTCTTTGCTCCTGGTGTGGAAGTTCACCTCCGTCCACAAGTACCTGCTGGCAGATAACCGCCACTTCCCCTTCTACGTGTGGAAAAGGCTTTTCCAGAGGCACGAGCTGGTGCGCTTCCTCGTCGTTCCCGTATACGTGTTCGCAGGGTGGAATTTCCTGGACTCCTTCAAGTCGCGCTCACTCTTCTGGAGTCTGGCGTTCCTGGCGTGCCTCCTCGCTGCGACGGTCCCCCAGAAGCTGCTGGAGTTCAGGTACTTCATCGTCCCCTACCTGATGTACCGCCTGCACATGCCTCTGCCCTCTCTGCCCAGACTCATCGTGGAGTTTGTCCTTTACACGGCGGTCAACGCTGCCACACTTTACATCTTCATCAGTAAGACCTTTCACTGGCCGGACAGCACAGCCACACAGAGGTTCATGTGGTGAGCCAAAGACACTCAAACAGGATGTCTGGATCAATAGATTCTTTCCAGAGCATGTGACATCTCAGAAATCAAGGGAAAGCTTCTGTTAAATCGCAGTTGCTAGTTTTAATGTGACAACTGGCATCCAAAACGATCTGACCTGAGGGTTTTAGGGTCAAGTAATGCTGTGTTTTGTTTTCACTGATAAACCCTGAAGCGTGGACTGTGAATCAGCGCACAACTACATTAAAATTCCCCTAAAAAGTATAGAAAGAGAACACTTTTTTACAATTTTTGGCTTTGACAATACAGTGGTGGTATCTGTGTTGTAAAATCTGTTCTAAATGATCTCGGCCTGACAATAATTTACTGTATTTCCACATGTTTTTCACAGTACCTACACAAATGTGGGTGGAAATGTTCATTCTTCTTCAGGGTGGAACAAAATGTATGTCATTTTGAGGATTCTGGGAAATAACAAGGCTGGGTGTGGCTTTTCTATGTCTATGACTGTTTCTTACTCTAAATGTAAATACTGTATGTAGTTCTATGAATCAATCTTAGGTGTTACATGATCTGTAAATGTAAATAAAGAGACCAAAAATAATAGCCATATTGTAATGTTCAGAATTTACGAGTGGGATGTTGTTAGTAATGATTGAACTCTGATAGACTCACAAGACAATTGAAAATAATTATGGAACTAAATTGAAGATATACATAAATTGTTTTCTAATTAGATTTTTCTTTGTATTTGACCAAGCCATAAGATCCACTGGAATTCAGAATGTTTTTTTCTCATTTTTCTACTTTGTAGTTTGTCTGTTAACTGTGTTTTTCCTCTGAATGTTGGCTATTTTTACTGTTACTTTTTCTGTGTATATACATGAAATGAATCATGACCAATTAGCTATATGCTGCTCCCCTGTTAATACAATCTTGTTGATACCTTTGAATAAAATGACTCATTCAATATGTTTGATTCCAAGTTTATTAATAGCATTTTAATGAAATAAGAAAATAAAGTATCACGAATTACAAAGTGCTAGCTCATAATCAGCCACTAGGGGGAGCTACAAGACAAATGTGGATATTCCTATTAACAGAGGAAGGAGACAGCTTATGAATTCAACAACAAAACCTCTAAATGCTGCTTTAAGTGCTGAGAAACACTGGGAAAAAAAAAATTAAAAAAGCTAAATGGTTAGCGTGAGACCTTGTGGAGTTATTTTGTTTTTCATACTGTTCAAATGATCAGCCTCTTTCCGACGTCAATGCTTTGAATAAACATTTTAAAATCAAAGAATCAAAGAATGAACTTGGATTTGATAAGCAGGATCTGACGTTTTACTGTATGTAATGCTTTTTATAAAAAGGACAGTTCATTTCTCTGTAGCTCATTGTGATTTAGAGAAGACTACTTGGTAAACCCAAAAGAAAAGAATTAGCACATGTATTGCTCTCAATCCAACCCATATGAATGAAATTCCAATTACATGGAGCGACGTGGGGCCAGCTCGTAGAGAAGACTTTAATGAAGTCAAACTGAGATGATTATACAAATGTAGATTACAACATGTATGAAAGAGATACTGTACAGTGTGTGCCATGTTCAGGGTTGGTATTGCTTTGATTATATGGGATTAAGTTCATTTTTGGGTATTTTGTCTATTGCTAAACCTCCCTGACGCACATTTTCATTGATTTTTATTTAATTGTGAAAAAAGTACAGATGAGTCTTTTATTGGTTTGCATTTTAAAAAAATGACAGCTAGTAAGCGTTGCTAACATGATCTTTTTCTGTCGTGTCTTTTTCGCCATAGAACATTTATGGATTTTGAGAAAAACTGTTGAAATTATGTGTCTTCCCACTGTTACCAAGGTTACAAATTGACCCTGATTGATCCTTTAAATAAGGCTTAAATTCCTAAGCAATGATTATTTTGAGGAATCAGAAAACGTATTAGACACAATACTCAAACTGGAAAAACCTAAATTAGTAATAATGTTAAAGTTTTATATAATTTTTATACTTTCTGACTTGCCCAATATATCTTAAATGAATTGTGTGCAAATATAACAGTTTTGTCAGCCATAAACTTCCATACAATAGTGAAATTGAAGGTATATTCATCTTATTTTTTGCAATATAAAACCACATGTTTCTGTTTCTTGATCTTTTCTCTCTTAGCACTGTCTCCCGGTATGCACACACACATGCAAACTCTTTCTCCCAGACTTTACCTTGAGGAAGCATCAGAGGCTCTGGGAAATTCATTAAAAGAAAGTTTAAAAAAATATATTTTCTGGACCCAATGTGAGGAAAATTGAACACAGAAATACATTAAGATAGATTTGTTTTTCGAATGTAAGCCGAGTTGGTTACTTAATCATTCCCTGAGTGTACATTAAAGTTGCATGAGCAGAAAATAATTGGCATGAGAAATATGCAGGGTGAGGAAGAGGAGGAGGGAGAGAGAAACACAGATTCACAGGTGTGATTTGACAGCACAGTCAGAAACTCATTACAGAGGAGGGGAATTTAATTACCGCAGATGCATATTATATAATATAATATTATCGTCACATTCGTATAAGAGAATAAACACTTTTCGAGGCACTTTTGTTTCTGAAAGTAAATCTTTAAAACTGACTTCCATTAGTATGGTAGCCCAACAATATCATAACAATTCCACATGAGGGGGGCGTTCATATAAACATCATCTCACGAACACAGTAAACATTTGCTTTGAGCTATACTAATGTCAGCATGCTAACATCCTCACAATGAAAACGCTAACCTGCTGATGTTTAGCAGCAATATTGTTTAACATGTTCATCCTCTTAGCTTAGCAGCTTGCTAGCATTAGCTATGACAATATAAGACACAATGGCACAAAAGGGTACACATTTGCATTAGTAACTTATCTGAAACCTCAGGATTTGTAAACTATTGAGTATTACCAAACTAGCCCCTTCAATTTCTCCCAGTTTAATATAGTTGCCGGCTGGAAAAGCAATAAAGCGCCTTAAACTGTCAATGTCTTTGTTTAAAGGCAATTGGTAGATGCCACTCCTGGTAATTACATTCACCCCTTCTATAGTCGGTGATTACAACAGTGACCTTTTCCTTTTTCACTCTGCCTCCTCTGCTGGGAGTAGAGCAGGGAATAAATGCCATTCTTTTATAAAGACTTCAAATCATCTTAACGCCTCTTTACAGCATCCGTTTGAGATATTTCAACTGTCGAAAAAACGTTCTGAACGGATGGGAAACTGACATTTTGTGTTATTGAGAGATCCCTAGTGGCAGAAATGACATGTTGTGCCTTTAAAGAAATGTATATTTCTCAGTGTCAATGTCTTCCCTGTTTCCTCTGTGTGCAACAAATACCCAACCAAGAATGAGTGTGTGAGAGTGTGTGTGGAGTAAGCAGAGCGTCTGTGAGGTCATCGCTGTCAGATGATCTTCTAACTCCTCGGACACTCTCCAAGCCTGTCACTGTACATCAGTCTGCTTCCTACAAACACTAGTCCACATGTCAACACACATACATGTATTCACAGTCACATGTAGAACTCACATACTGTGTGGCTGCAGAGACAACAAACACAATGGAATAACAACGTCATCACATAGATTCCCCACTGAGCTATTACATTCTACATTCTTCATTCACACACACACACACACACACACACACACACACACACACACACACACACACACACACACACACACACACACACACACACACACACACACACACACACACACACACCACACACACACACACACACACACACACACACACACACACACACACACACACACACACACACACACACACACACACACACACACACACACACACACACACACACACACACACACACACACACACACACAAAACTTCTAAGGCAATGAGGCACTCAGCACCCCATGCGTCTCCCTGCATAATGCATTGCTAGCCCAGGTGGAAACACACTGCCGCACACTTACACACAGCAACGCTTAGCTGTGATGCATAATATATCAAGCCAGGTTAGGGAGAACAAGTGGCCTCATATGTACTGCTAATCGAGACAAAAGCAAGGTTCTTGTCAGTGTAGTATGTGTGTAGTATGAGTGTGTGTGGTGGGGGTCTACTGATTAAACACAGCAAGCACAATAAAAACCATTCGTTTTCTGAGCGGCCATGTGCCAAGTTGCCATTTTATCTCACGCTCTTAGAGAAACTCCATCATCCTGAGTACACAGCATAATTATTCCGTAGTCTCAAGACATCAAACTTTGTTTCCTCGTTATCGCTACCTTAAGTCATTGTGATGGTACTGTGCCGTGAAGAAACAGATGGAGAGGCAGAGGACACCATGTGTTATCATGACACGTCAAAATCACAGAAGCTATTATGGAATAATTGTATTACATTATTTTTGTTGTTATCTGTGTGAAATATGAATCAATCAGAGGGTAAATAAACAGACTGAAGAGTTACCATGCTACCAGGCTCAACTTATGCTGCCTTCAAATGGCACTAGTGAGCTTCTGGTGGCCACATTGGAGGTCATGTACGCAATATGCTTAGGGTTTAAGTGGTAAAGTCACACTGCTGCTAGGAAATAGAATATTAGCGTCTAGAAACCAGCCAGGCAGCTAGCAAGTGGGCAATGTAAATGTGAAATATACCAAGAATAGTTTATCTGACATATCTTAAAATGAGAAAAAAACACGTTTCATATTTTCATGGCTGCGCTGATTCTGAAAAAGCCAGTTAATACATCGTACATTTGAGCTATGCCAATGTTAGAATGCTAACATCCTCACAATGGTCAATGGCAATGCTAACTTGCCAATATTTAGGAGCAAAATTGTTTAAAATGTTCATCATCTTAGTTAAGCAACTTGCTACAAATTGCTAGCCAGCACTGAACACAAAGAAGAAGTGAAGCTGCCTTTTTGAGAAGTATTTGATTAAGTACATTTTAGTTTTCATTCGATATGAAATGCCTATCGTATGCCAAGTAATAAAAGACACTTAAAGTCAAAGCAGCTGATACAACCTCATTTTAAAGGCTTTACCTATGATAGTAAGTTGTATGATATATGTCATGATTTATATACCAAATACCCTATAGGCTTCTTTTAAATTCCTTATTTTATTATTGCTAAGTGATTTAGCAAACATTTGTCATTCTTATAAACTATTCTGTTAATTTATTGGTGACATACATGTCAAAACACTGTTCAAATGGTAATTAACACATATGATGGAAATTGATAGGTCTATTTGTGCACTTACAATATCCAGAACGTGGGAATGAAAAAATAAAGTGCTAGATGGCTCATACCTCTGCTTTTAACACAAATAAAGATCTAATTTAGACATAACATATACTGTAAGAAAATCATTTAATAAGAAAAATCATCTTAAAAAGTTACACAATGGACTCATGAACATGAACACACCAGCTAACTGACATCTCTTAGCACCTTTAAGAAACAATTACAGCACATGCGGAAAATGTTCTATTTAAGTAAGAACAGTGGGAGTTCAGTGGGCGGAGCAGCGAAAACATGTGTTTTGTTTTATTAACGGCACACAGTAATTATACAACCTGCCCACATTCATATCACCGTTTCCATCATGCTGCCTGTAAAGCTTTTATGGCGTTGTGAGGGACATTTCTCATGGGTGACCTTCCAGATATGATCTTCAATTTACCAATTTATTTTATCTATAATTTCTGGGGAATATTTAAATGAGATTTAACTTTAGCTGTGTCTCCTTGGCAGGTTGCTAAGCTACAGTCTGTGTCGGGAAGTGACAAGTGAACATAATTACAACCCCGGGTGACAGACACCGACCGCAGTGTTCATTAGACTTACACAAGCATTAAGACATCAAGTCTTTTGAAAGGACCAAACCGTCACACAACCCTTTTTTGCATCAACTAATTACCACATCATCATTA